AGGGTAGTGGGCTCAATCCCCATGTTGGGCAAACGATTCCTGCATTGCAGGGGGGTTGGACTAGATGACCCTTGTGGTCCCTCCCAGTTCTACAATTCTATGATTCTACACATGTACCCCCACCTTCCTCATCCAGCCAGGCAAGTGAGAGGCAATATTACACTTCGCAGGCCCAATTCCAGCAAGCAAGAGCGCTTGAGGGCAGAAAGGCGGGCCAGTGAAGGGTGAAGCCTGAGGGCGATTCTCGAGGGCCAGACAAAAGCAGCCTGAGTAAAACAGGCAGGCATGTGCAAATGTTTTCTAATTTTAAATACATAATTTTTGGAGATGGGTGAATAGGTAGATGTGTGCACCATCAGCCCTGAAGAACTAAAAAAACATACCCAAGGTATTTATCTAAAACACCAATATAAATGGCAGAGGAGGAACAGAGCAAAGAGCAAGATGGAAGGAAAGCTTAAAAATACCCAGCAGTGGAAGACAAAGCAGGAAAAGACACATGGTTACGCATGGTGGATCACACCAGCTGCAGGCAGCTCAGAGCAGCAACAGACTCCAACTCCCATCAGCCCCGGTCGGGGTGACCAATGGTCAGTGACGATGGGAGCTGGAGTCCAGCAACACTGGGGGGGAGACAGGCATCCCAGCCCTGTCCTGGAGGAGCAAATGGCACAGAATGCAAAGGTGCAGCTCTCACTCCCCCGTCCAATTCCTCTTCCTCCGGCAGGTTGACAGGCTCATCATCTGCATCTTCCTCGAGAAGGACGACGAGATCTACAAGGAGTTGCTGCCCCGCTTCTTCCCCGTGGGTGAGTTGGCGGCAGCAGCAGGAGGCCTTTTCAGGAAAGGAGGATGCTTCCGATAAGCTGCTGGTGGGCCTTCCACAAAAGCTCCAGCTCTTCGAGGGAGGGCAAGAGGGAAAAGCCCTTCGTGGGGGATTCTCACCTCTCCCTCCGTTTGTTTCCAGCTTGACCACACTCCTCACGCTCTCCAATGGGGGTAAGAGCTTTCCAGCACCGATTGCAGTGCGGAAACAGGCACAGGGGAGTCTGCATGCGCCGCTTCCCCGGCAGCAGCCAACACAGACTAACCTCTTCCTCGTTTGCTGGATTCCCATTTCACTTAGGGAATCCTGAGATGCGAGAGACCTGTGGCTGGTTCTCCTGGTGTTTCAGTTTACAAGCAGCTATAAAAGGTTCCCCAGCAGAGCAGTGACTTGGAGGAGGGGCAGGGCCTTTCTCTAAATCTCTCCGCCTCCACCTCTCTCTCACACAAGTTACTATTAGCCTGACTTGGGGGAGGTGGGGGCATCAAAGGTGTCCTATAGGTCATTGTTCATGTCTACCCAAACAAGCCAAATACCAACTGCGGCCACTTTAGATTTAGTGGGGGCGACACCCATCCCGTCACTGCTCCTTAAGAAAAATAAAAACAGACACCCCTTCCCATTAGCTTTTAAGCAGAAATAGAAGTAGTGGATCAGTCAAGCGACAGGTCTCCTGTGACACATGTGCCCTTTAGCCCTTATGTGAATGCACACGCACGCACACACACAGGCACTGCTGCTGGCCTCCAGGGTTAAGAAGCGGTCACAGCCAGGACTTATGGGGTCCTTTTCGATCCTGGGAAGGAAGCGCAGAGCAGCTATCCAAAAGCTCCCCACAACAGCCTCAGAATCGGGGTTTGAGTCTATGAGGTTGACAGAGAGGAAGGAGCCAGCAAGCCAGGATCCTCTCCCTCACAGAAGGCACGAAGGATTTAGAGCCCTGGAAGATTGAGAAGGGTTTGAAATGCTTTTGGCTTGGGGAGGGGGCATTTTGGGACATACTTGGTTACTGCATTTGTGGGGGTGGGGAAGAGAAGAACACCTTAGGGAGTAATGTGGCACACAGTGGTCACAACAGCTGCAGAAATTGCAAGTTCGGGGGAAAACAAGACTAGAAATTGCTGCACGCAGCAAAGAACACAAACTGAAGCGGCAGCAGTGCTAGGAATCCAGGAGGTAGCTGGTGGGGCTGAGGGCCAACCTAACACCTGCAGCACTAACAAAAGCTTGTCGAGTTGGGGGTTTGGTGCTTGTCTAACTGATCACTCAGTCTCTCTCCCCCCCCCCCCGCTTTATTGTTGAGGAATGGAAACATTTGCTCCTGCATCCTTCTTTTTCCTTCCTCCCCGCTCCCAAAGCTGCAAGACTTACTCCGCCAGCCAGCATGTACATCCCTTGCTTCAAGCCCTGCCCTCTGCATACCCATTGGGCAACTCAGGTCATGCTGATGAAATATGCTGGGCAGAGGGAAGGCAGCCCCCAGCCAGCAAGCCTGACCTTTGCCTCTTTCTCTTCTCGCCAGATGCCTCGGGGGTCCTGCCCTCCCGCCTCTGAGCTCGCTTTGCATTGACTATCCTACCCCTGCGAAGCACCCCGCTGCAGAATACACCGTGGCTCGGAGGAGGCGCAGTGGTGGTGGGAGAGAATGCCCAGACAAGCGCAACATCCAGGAACTGCTGTTGGAATAAATTCATGCGAAACACACTCCAGTTGCACGCCTTGTGAGATTGGAAGGGAGGGGGGGCGTCAGAAGAGTGAGGACTCGGCCTTGCAGAGAAGCACAAGCATAACAAAAGTACCAGCTCACCTGCTCCTCCCCGCCTGAACCTCCAGGGCAGGAGGCAAGCTGGAGCGGCATGCTGCTTGTCTGGAAGGAGCTGGCACTCGCTCCTCACAAGGCTCTCCCCGTAGTCAGCAGCAACAGCAGGAGGCAGAAAAGAGTTTTGTGGGAGTAGGAGACCATGGGCTTGGGGAGGTGGGTGATAGTCATGGCATGACTAAGTCGTCACTTTTTAAAAAGCCCTGCTCTGTATCTCCTTTTTAAAAAAACAAAAGCAAAACCCAAACATTTCTTTAAGAACAGGGATGAGGAAGCCTATGAGGCCCCTTCAGCTCCTCTTGAGACTATAACTCCCATCATCCTTGGCCAGTAACCATGTTGGCTGGGGCTGATGGGAGGTGGAGTCCCCAGAGCCGAACTTAACAGAAAACTGCTTATAATGCCTTTGGCCTTCTGCTCCCAGGAAGCAGATGGAGGACACCCTATTCTGCGCTCTCTCGTGCTCGCTCTCTCTCGCTCTCTCTCTCCCACACACACCCTGACACTGCCCAATTTCAAGATGAACTTTTGTTCTCCAGCCTTTGAAGTGCACAGCAGAACAAGACAAACAGAGAGAGTTGGGAGCTTTCTAGGACCCAGACCCACCTTCAGATCCTGCTGGCAACCAGTCAAACGAGGGCACCAGGGGAATGATGCAAGAGTAACTGCGAGTGTGTCTGTCTGGGCAGCATCTCCACAGCAGGGAAAAGGCAAATCACATGTGTACACCACACCTCCACCCCCCCGCAAACTGCCTCTGAGCAGAGTTGGATTAATTAATTCCTCCATTATCTATTCAGGAGAATCCAAACAGCAATTCCTCTCTCACACACATGGAGCTCCATAGAGACAGCAGTTGGAAGAGACATGGGTAGATTATGGATCAGCCTAAGAGTGAGTGAGTGTGTGTGTGTGTGTGTGTGTGTGTGTGAGAGAGAGAGAGAGAGAGAGAGAGAGAGAGAGAGAGAGAGAGAGAGAGAGAACTACAGGGAGCGTCTGCCAGCAGGATTAGAGGCACCTGCTGCAAGTTGGGAAAGCAGAGAACATGGAGGGTCTGGGCAAAAGCAGTGCCATGCTCCATGCTGTCTGGTCGTAAGCTAGAAACACTCTTTTTTTAAGAAGGCTACACTTCCTCACGTGAGGGGGAAAATGCATCCAACCCAATACATCGCCACATACCCCCCTCAGATTTAAATTGGGACAATTCAGGAAGTCCTTTACCACAAGTAAGGGTTTTTCTGAATGTGTAGGATACACACGAGTACAATGGCTCATACAAATGTGTGCGCCCATCGCACCAAGAGGCACACAAACAGACTCTTCACAAAGCAAGGAGACTCTTCCAGTGAAGCAACACAACACTGGCGACAAAGACAGGGACCCCCTTTCCCAGTCCTGCAATTAGAGGCTTCCTGTTTGAAGAGACAGTTGCTAACCAAGCATTGAGTCAGCTGCTGAGGTGCCTCCCCCCAAGCCCCATAGCAACAGTGGCACAGCCACCATTCTGGGTCACGTGCCTAGCCAGGTTCCAATTCCACGTCTCCCAGGAAAAACCTTCTCTTGGCTCAGCTCTACCAACGAACCTCACTCTCCACTTTAAAAAAATAACAGTGGATGATTGCATTCCGAGGGAAGCCAAATTCTCTGCTGATAGAAAAACTGGTGATTTACTAAAGTTCTTAAAAAAAACAAAAACCCTGCAGATTCATTATACATTCCAAGAAAAAAAGTGGCAAGGAATCTCATGACAGGTTGTGGGGCAGGAAAATATGCAAGATTACAGTTAAGATAGGTGGAAGACAGGTCACTGTGAATACACTAAACTACTGGTCCCTGAACATCTGGAATCTCTACCCATCCCTCCTCTGCTTTCCAGGACTTTACCAGATGCTGTATACTTATTTCTTTTTTTAAAAAAAATATTTGCAGCCTTCAGGAGTACAATCTCTCCACTTAAGTGATTCAACATGCTGGCAACCAGAATCTGCACTGGCACACACTGAACCCTCATGATGATCCTTTAGAAAAACCATCACTTGCTCACTCGCTTTTTTGGGGTGGGGTTTTGTACCAAAGCAAATCAATCATTGCTCACTCTATGAGGACAGAAAAGAGGAGGAAGAGAAAGGTTGCACCCAGTGCTTTTTTTCTGGGTGATGCAGAGGTACGCATACCCCTAAACATTTTGTGAATCTTTGTACTTTTGTCCGTTTACTGTATTTATTTTCTCCGATTTGAACTATAAAATGGTGATTTTCTTGAGCCAAAATGAGAGTACCCCTAAACATTTTTTTAGAAAAAAAGCACTGGTTCCACCCCATAAAAGCCCTAGAGAGAAGCTACAGGCAAGGTAGATTGTTTCACCGGCATCCCCTTTAATAAAACACAGAAGAGTGTGAGTGTAACAACAAAAAAGAGGAAAAATATAATAATAACAAACCAAGTGAGCGAGATGGCAGCAAGAGCGATCACCATTTACAACCACAGACGATGCTGCCCGGCGGATGGGCAGGGAAACACGGGCGAGAAAGACAATGCGAGGCAGAGAGGAAGAAGAGGGGGGGCTTGGTGCACCGGCCAGACTGCCTCCCCCCGCCTCTCCTCTATTTATACAGGATGTCGTAGTGTCCCGGTCTGTACAGTAGATACACTTTGGGCTCCGAGCCCTCAGGGAAGATGTGGGGGTTGGTGGTGCCGCCCTCACCCCGGTCCATGTATTCCACCTGAATGGAGACGTTGAGGGCCTGGGCCAGCGCAATGATGTGGATGTGGTCGCTTTCCTTGCACATGGGCTCCACCTCCTGGAAAAGAGAGGAAAGGCACACAGAGCTGTTTACGCCCCTTGACAGTACCCACTTGAGAAAGATTAAGGCGCCTTGCAAGGCTCTGAAATCCCCACCTGAGCTGCCCTGCCCAGACCAGCCCCTCTCAGATTCCATGCACCCAAGCTATTCTGTGATCATGAGTCCTAGAAACCTAACTTTAATACTGAAGAAAAGCAACCTGGAGATTTCAAAGTTGCCAAGCAAGACACTAGATGCTAAGCTCTGTACTCGATGCAGTGATCTCACCCAGGTGGACTGTCCACGCTGCATCTTGCAGGCCACGGGCCAGATAGAGAACCGCACTGAACGCATGCAGATACCAGAATCCTCACCTCAGCAAAGGCTGGATACACACGACACTAAACACCCCAACTGCTCCTGTGTTTGAATACCCAGAAGTCCATGGGTTAGCCGCCGCCACCCCTTGCTTAAAATAAGCTATCTTTGCTGGGGGGGGGGCTCATTCCTGCCACACTTGTGGTACTGTAGAACATTCTCTGATTATTTAACCTGAGGGAGTTGGCAGGCCTCCAGGGAGCAAAGGGGCTAATGCTCTTCCCCCTGAGATACATATTATGTTAGGGTCCACCCTATTATTGGGGCACCAGTTTTGTCCTGGGACCCCTCAGGGTGAAGGGCAAGTAATAAACTGAATGACTAGTGAGAACAACAGAATGAGGGAAAGAGCCTGATTAACAAGACTTGTGCGGTCTGCCACTACTGAGCCCACTCAACGGCCAGTTTTAAGCAGACTCTACCTAGATGTTCCTCCCCTTTTCAATGTGTGCTAGAACTAGGATTCCCAGAAAAGGAAAGCAGAAATGTTTAAAAGCTTCATAGGGAAACTACAGCTATGCAGACTCGCAGACCCTGCCAGGAAAGATCTGTATGGCCAAAGCAGAATGGTCACTTCAAGAGGAAAGGAAGGGCCAGGGGAGTGAATGGAAAGTGTATGTGTATGTGTGTGTGTAAAAAAATTTGTCTCATCCTGGTCAGAGATGTCCTTCCCCTGCCTCCACGCTCCTGACCTGCTGGCAAAACTCTTTTATGCTGCGTCCTCCCTCGATGAAGTGCTCGAAGAACTTGTTCTCGCGTTGCAGGTACCCAGAAGTGAGCAGCCGCAGGTACACAACAAGGTAATCCGAGGTGCTCTGGTCGTTGAAAGAGGTCAGCAGGTCTGAAACCGTGGTTTGCTTCTCCACTTGTTCTATCAGATCCATAAACTACAGGGATGAGAGAGAGAGAGAGAGAGAGAGAGGGGAAAGGTCAAAGAAAAGCGCCCACAGCTGGCTGAGTAAGCCAGTGATGAGGAAACAGTGGGGAAGGGCTTTAACTTGGTGGCACAACATCAGACTCATTTATTAATATTTCAAAACTCTCTGAGCGGTGCGCCATCTAAAACAAACAACGTATCATTAAAACAAAACACAAACCTAAAACCACTAAGAGAGCAATACGAAAACACACAATAGCAAGCAAAACAAGTTCAGAGGCCTCAAACATATGAAATCTTATAGGTCTGGGAAAGTCTGGGCAGAAAGAAACATCTTCCCAAGATGTACAGAAGGTCCCAGGTTCAAGCTCTAGCAGCACCAGGAAGGACCGGGAAAGGCTCCTGGTCTGAATACCTGGAGAGTTGCTGTCAGTCAGTGTAGACAACACAGAGCTAGAAGAACCAAGGGCTTCCTATGTTCTTCCAGATGCCCATCTTCCCTTCAACATCTGGAGGGCCTGATGGTCTCCCCACCCCTGGTATCTTAGGAGGTATGGCTGGAACCAGGGTCTCCCTGGCAAAGTACTGCTTGCTGCCCCAACAGGGGAGGGGCCCCTGTGGTGACACTGGAGCCACGATTTACAGCAGCCACTTGTGAGCCATCCATCCTTTTGATTTTCCCAGAATGCCCCACTGTAGCGGCATAAAACAGCAGACACCTGGGAGCCACCTGCTGCCAAAGACCAAGAGGATCCGGGAGGCTGGACAGGCACTTGGGAGGCCCGCGTGTGTTTTAAGCACCAATACTACTTGCACTTGGAAAGATGCAGAAGGGGGCAACTGAAGTGCACAATGGAGTGGACCACCATGCCAACAAAGAAAGGTTGAGGTTTGTGACTACTGAAACACAGACAGTGAAGTCCCTTTATTCCCACATTCTTCCAATCTCAAACTATCGCTGAAGTTTCCTGTCCCCACCCCTCCCCTTCACGGCCTTAGCACAGGCGTCAGGGATATTTTCCAGCCCGAGAGCTGCAATCCTTTCTAAACAATCTTCCATGGGACGCCTGCCTGTGGTGGGCGGGGCCAGAGGCAGAAGTGGACAGAGCAACGATTGTGAAAACAGGTAACACGCTCAGCAATCAACCAACCAACCAACCAATCAATCAATCAAAAAAATGGAGCAAAAAGGGGGTGGGTGTTGGGGGGGGAAGGAACTCTGGCAATTGCACCTGCCATTGCATCCAGTGTGTTTTTACTATACTTGATTTTGGCTTTATGCACTCCCCGTAACATAACCCCTGTGTAAGCTGAGAGTCACCTGCACTGCTTTTATAACAGTAGGCTGGTTTTACACACAAACCCCTCTCTACCCAGGAGACTAAGGGCCATTATCCGAGTTCAAGGACCTATTCCAGACAGGCAAAAAAAATTACAGAGGGCAAAAACTTCCAAGGAGGGTGTGAAGTGTGGCCTGAGGAGAGTCCCAAGCGCCAGGCAGAGAGGACCAGAAGGCTGCATTTGGCCTGAGGTTTCCCACCCTGGCTTACCGTGTTGTGGAAGTCCTCAATGGTGAATTCCGTGAAGCCCTGCGAAACCAACACTTCCTTGCTTTTGGCAGCCACCTCTTTGAAGCTGTACACAGTAAAAGAAACAAGTACAGAATAAGTAATTCTAGTAAAGCAAGAATCTTTGCACTGCAAACGCCAATGACCCAACGTTCAGTAATGAGCTGAGAACTGCCAAGTATACTTTCATTGACAGCGCTGACCACCCCCCTGCATCCCAAGAGACTCCCTTATCTAAGATGTAGCTAGTAGGTCACTTTGGTCTGCAGAGAAGCTTCTCCTTCCAGTTCCAGAGAGATCAGAAGCCCCCTCTGCAGTAACTCAGAGCAGGGCTTTCCATGTGGCTGCCCCTGTTCTGCGGAAAAGCATCCCTGTTGAGATGCACTCTCTGGAAACAACGGAAGACATCTTTGTTCCGACAGCTGGATGAATGTCTCTCTGTTGTGGGTGTCTACTTGGTAATGTTTTTCTATCATCTGATCTTATTTCCTGCGTTGCTTTTAAGGTTCAGCTGTTTTTACTGAGATGTGTGCAAGGCGATAAATAAGTAGAAGCATCTCAGAGACACACCTCACTCTCCCCCCCCCCCGCATGTCCTACCGTTGGAGCTCCTTGCCATCCTCCAAGAGTGCCTCAAGATGGGAGAAGCCAAATGCCCGATAGAAACAGTTGCCGTCTGGCCTTGTCTTCCGGATGAATGCATACTTCTGCAGCAGATCCTGTGCAGGGAGAATGGAGGAGGTGGGTTAGCATCCGACTGGCTTGGTGGCCTACAGACAGAAACAGAATAAATGCCCTGTCTTCTAAAAGCAGACCTCAGGGTACTTTCCCCTCTTGAACCCCGATGACGCAGGAAGCTGCCTTGTACCAAGTCACACCACTGGTACATCTAGCTCAGCATTGTCTACACTGACTGGCAGCAGCTCCCTAGGGCTTCAGACAGGGAATCTCCCCCGGCCCTACCTGGAGAGGCCACTGGGGACTGAACCTGGAGCTGCCTGCATGCAAAGCAGAGCTCTGTCCCTGAGCGACGCCTGTTCCCCTTTCCTCATGGAGGAAGGGCTCCACCCCATTCCTCCATTTCAGCTGCCCTCCACAGCCCATGCGCTGGAATGGTTGTGGTCCTTGTTACCTTGATCTTCTGCTGGTAGACGTGGTCATCATCAGCGTATTCCTTGTACAGGACAGACAACTCCATCCTTTCTGAGACGAGAGGATTCTGGACGGCTATCTGCAGAGAAGCAGGTTGGTACATGAGAGGTGCAGAACAGGAAGGAGAGCACAGAAACACATATTTTCATATGGGGGAGGTGGGCAGCTTAAAAAGGACCAGCCTTTTATTTAAAGCACCAGCTTGGTTGCCACGGGCGATCAGGAGTGGTATGCAGGCGAGTGAGTGGGCTGGCAGAGGAGGATGGAGTGAACTGGCTCTCCTCTGCACTCCAAGTAGAAACCAAGCCTGAAGAGGGGAGCCCCGCTCTCAGCATTCAGCATAGAAATGGAGGATTGTTTAGAAGTTCCAACAGTAAGCAAAATTTCCCTCTTGAGCTGCAGGGGCTACGTGGGGCTTCATAACCAGATGTTCTGAATTATGGTCCCGGGGGTATAAAGGCTTGCTTTTATGGCAAGTAGATACAGTTCTGTTGTTGCAGCAACCCAATTCTGTCCATGCCAGTGTAGGGGTAACACTCCATATTGCGAAGGCAAACCTCGCACAAAGATATGCCACAGCATGTCTGGGAGCGTTACTCTTGCTTTCTCTGACCTTTTGCCTTCTTGGCTGGAAGATAGGGTTTTCCCCTTGACCTTTTGTCCTTTCGCAAACTGTTTGCTTAGACATATCGCTTGGCTGGAGCATGACGAGTAAAGCAGACGTTATCAAGTATCAGGGGAGCATTTGGGGGGAGCACCTGTTGACACGTGTATTGCTAAGGCTGGAAATGTGCTTTGCTGGAAATATGTTAAAGTTCAGAGTGGTTTCACTACTGCTTTCCAACTGCTGATTTTTGCCAATAAAAGAGGCTCTGCAAAGCTAGCCGATAGCTTGCTTCAGCACAGCTCACTCGCATCATCAACCCTTATTTCTACAGCCTCTTTGCAAAATACATTAATCAGGAAGCTGGAAACTTCCATTTAAAGCAGGGGGTGTGTAAGTAAGTTAGTTGATAAGAATCTGAGAATAGGTGAAATTTGAGAAAAAGTTAATTTTTTGGGTTAATATTATGTCTAATTAAGTATTCAAGCTTTTGGAAAATAAACCTAAAATTAGAGACATAATATGGGGAAAATATAAATAAGAAATTGAAATAAGGTGATAATTTGCTGTATAGAATTTTACAAACCTGGAAAGCAGGAATGGAAGATGTGAGGAAGTTCAAAAGTGAGGAAATTGTGAATATTAAGAATTTGGATATGATGTTATAATTTTGTTTTTTCTTTTTCTTTTTTTTGTATGTATCTTTACTGTTATATCTTTTTTGTTTGTTTACTGTATTGTTGGGTACGGGATTATATGTGTTGGGTGATAAATGTAAAAATTCTTGAATAAATATTTCTTTAAAAAAATAAAATAAAGCAGGGGGTGTGGAGCCTTGGGCCCAGGACCTCCCTATCTTGCCCTCAGGACTGTGAAGGGGCCACACCTCCCTCACCCAAGCCCTCCTCCAATGCAGCATCCTTGAACTGTGAGAATGGTTCTTGCTTGCTTTGATGTTCACAAGCAAAGAGAGACTTCTCCATAGCTAGAAGGTCCTTCTACTCAAGAGTCACATCCATTGCTCCGTTCACCTCTGCCTTTGGCATCGCCCACCTCTTTGCCTCTAGCCCTGCTCACCACTGGCCTCCCCCACCCCCCACCAATTTAAAAACAAGAACTTTCCCTTAGGACAGGTGTAGGGAATTTTTGGACCTGAGCTACAACTCTCATCAGGCCCACAAGCGTGGCTTAGGAACAGGGGTGGTGGGAGTCATAGCTCAGCAATATCTAGAGGGCCAAAGGGTCCCCAAACCTGCCTTAGCTATTTGAAAATTGGGCCTGCATAGCATGGTGCTGATGATGCCCAGGTTGCAGGTTCGATCCCCCGTAAAGGACAGCTGCATGGTCCAGCATTGCAGGGGGCTGGACTAGATGAATTCCAACTTTACAATTCAATGAAAATCAACTAGCATGCCCTGACTGGAATGTGTGAAGCAGCCATCCCAGGCGCAACACCACAGAAAAGAATGCAATGGATCGTAAGAGCCTGGCTGCAGGATCAAGCCATCAAGGCTAGCAGCCATTATAGCCTTATCCTCCATGAATCTGTCTAGTCCTCTTTTAAAGTAATCCAAATTGGTGGCCATTGCTTCTTCTTATGGGGAGTGAATCCCAGAGTTTCACTCTGCTTAACGCAGAGCTTTAAGGGAGCCAGCACCGCAGAGCCAGCTCCAGTTATCAAGCACGGAGAAATCAAGGAGGAATGTAGGTGCATTTGTGAACCAGCCCTTAGTTTCATGCATGTTGCGATTACTTTGGAATCACGGGGTTAGTCACATCAGGCTGCTACCGAGCTTTCCGGAGAGATTCTAGGATGTGACAATGCAAGGAGTACAATGTTAAGTCCAGCGCATCTGTCCACAGTTGGAATCTGTAAGACGGGATGGGCTGTGAATCTGAATGAACGGGTACAATTTTTTGTGGTTGCTTGCTGCTCATGCAGCCGAACACAAAGCAGGCAGGACCACACAGGCCAACCTCTTATGTTCACAAGGGCTCACCTCCTGCTGAATTCGATCCTGCTGTGCCATTATGGCTTCATCATAGGCCAAGCAATTCACTCCTGCGGGAGGGAAAAGAGAGAGAGAGAAGATAATAATGAAGTTGAGAAAGGTCCCTTTGCACCAGTGCAGTCTTGACAGCATTAACAATGATCTTCTGGCACACACACAAAAAGATAAAATTTGCTTTTTCACAGTATGGCTCAAGACAAAAATGATGCCTAAGTTCCTAGTCCTCAGGGCTTGAAAATACAATAATGACAACAAAGTCAAAGGATCAGAAGCAAGACAGCAATTAGAGAGAGAGAGCTAAGCCTGTTACCATTTTCAGCTGCAATTGATTTTGACATCTCTAGAGCAGACAAGGGTCAATTAATTAATTCTTATCATTCAGCACATCTCTTCTTGTACAATACAGAGTGCTTTATGGTCCTGATCGCAACATCTCATCACACTTTAAAACCTCTGCAGGGCAGTGTATCAGAACTGCAGGAAGCACACAGCTTTAAACCGCCAAATCTAAAGCTTAGCCTCATCAAATACAAAACGGAAAAAAAGAAGACACCCTCGCAAACGAAGCTATGCCGGTTTATGTTCAAGGACATGCAATGCCATCGCACCTTCAACGCAGCTCTTGTGCCCACAACCACGCTTCCGACACAGAGCCCCCAGGGCTGAGCAAGTGGCCCATCCCCGCCTTATTAGCATGACAAGCTGCATTGGGTACCATGTTTTTGCAACAACAGACGCTGACGCTGCCTCCCTTTTACAGCCAGGCTCCAGCGGGGTATCCATTTGAAAAGGCAGAGAGAGAGAGAGCAAGAGAGAGGCCCAGTTGCTGCAGAAACCCAAGCAGCTGCACACCACTACAAAAAAAAAAAAAAAAGGAAAATAGTAACACCGCAGCCTGCTGTGCGGAAGTTTTTATCTGCTTTGTAAGACAGGCAGTGCAGGTTCTCAGCTGCTTCCTCCAACAGCATCAATTGCTCACAGCAGCTGCCAACGCTGCAGAAAAATCAGGAAACCTGATCTGGGCCGGTTCCATATCGTACATCATCCAGAGAGGTGTCCCAGCTCCCAGCCTGCTAGGATGCTACCGCAGTGAGGCTGGGACTCACAACCGCAACTCTTTCTCATGCAGTTGGTTTTGCAGGCTTCACCTCCCTGCCTACCGCCCCCCCCGAACCTCTTCCCTCCCAGGCCACAGAAAGGTAGTGGAATTGGACACAATTTACTCCAGACTTCATTCCAAAACTGGATCAGCCAACACTCAGGTCAGATTTTCTGGGCAAAAGATGAGTTAACGAATCCTCAAAGGACAGGAGCTACGTGCAGGACTTGTTTAAGAAAGGGGGGGACACACAATCTATATTAGCGTGCAATCTGGGTCAAATGGTTGACACGCAACTCCGAAGTGTGTGATTCAAGAGAGCAGCAAGGAAGAGAGCAGCTATTTTCAGGGTCTGGAAACAGTATCCCATTATTAAGTAGGAGCTTGCGAGCCCCAACAGGAATAAATTTGGGAATCAGGGGCTCTTCTGTTTGCCAACACAGGCAGGCAGCTATAGCAAGCGAAATTCATGCTCTGATTTACAATCAGCAAGGTACAAGATGAAGGGTAAAAGAACACAACAGCCCACACCACGGGCATGTCCACCCCTCCCCTGCCTAGAGTTGCCAACTTTATTGGCCCTTCTCAGGTGCCTTTGACACAATCCTGGTCATGCAGAGACTGAGCTTTTCTTGGGATGGAGTAAAGCAGTGGAGAAAGCTCAAGATGCTTAATTTTCTTTGTGTGAGTCCACTTAAAAGCCCATGTCCAGGGCTACTTAACATGTTGGCAACCTGGCCCTGAACCAACTGCGACTTCAGGCACTTCTTACACAACATATGTTAAGATGCACTCAATCAAGATTCCATTTTAAAGGGGGACATTCTGTCAGAAAGGCAAAACTGTCAGAAGAAACTGTCAAAGCAGATGAGCAATAATAAAGCAAAGTTCATTCCAGGGCGAGAGTGTCTCATTCTGGGAGGAATTATCACATCAACCAAAATGGGGTTCCCAGGCATCTGGAGGGGGTGGAGTCTGAATACAAACACCTTCTGGAGAACCTGTGGCCCTGCTCTTGTTGTTGGACTCCAGCTCTCCAGCGGCCAAGAACGAGGGAAGTTTCAGCCCAACATTTGGGAAACCGTAGCTCAGTGATTGAGTACAGAAGGTCTGGGGCTCAATCCTTAGCATCTCCAGGTAGGGCTGGAAACATCTCCAGAACAACACCCAGTAGAACCACTGCCAGTCAGTGTAAACAATATGGAGCTGGTTAAACCAATGGCAGCTTCCTATGTTCACATCAGGTTCCCCACCAGAGCAATATATGCTCTCAAGCACAGACAAGGGTCCGTGGTTGGGGTTTTTTGAGAATGTGGATTCTCTCACCATGGTAGAGGAGGCCTGGATTCCAAAGGGAAGCTGACTTGGCACAGATTGTTCATTAGGCAGGGATCCTATCCCTCTGCATCCCTGACGGGTTCCCCAACATGACAATGCACAAATATTATTTTTTTCATACTGCACAGGAATTCAACGTATGCAAACTGGGCAGCACTGCCTAAGAGACAATAGATGTGCATGTTAAGCGTGCTTTGGTGCAGAGGGATTGTACACACCAAGTAAAAAGTATACAGAAATCTCAAAGTGTCGTCAATGAGGCAGTTTCTCAACAGGGAAAGGGATATTTCCAACCCGGTGTCAAGAGGAGTAATTGTTTCTTTAAAATAGCAAAGGAGAAGTTAGCGGAGAGGAAGGATGATTAGAAGAGGAACAAAGTATGTATACGGACAGAAGGGGATCAGATTTGTTCGGGGCTCTTAACTGGAGCTGTCCCCGGGATCATTTTGGGAGAAAGGCAGGAGGAGAGTTTAAAGCAGGAGTGGCTAAGCCGCCAGATGTTGTCAGAACTCCAGCTCCCTTCATCCCTGACCATCAACCATGTTGACAGGGGGAGAAGAAGTCTAACACCATCCGGAAAGCCACAAGTCCACTCACCTGTCTTACTTCAGAAGAGGGGCAGTTGTGGGTTTAATCCCTAAAGTTTGGACATGCAAGATCCATGGAGCAGTGTGTGAAGTGGGAGATCAAATGAATGAATGTTTGGAGTAGGTAGTTTCATGCTGTGTGTGCATGGAGGAGGAAGGCAGCAAGCGCAAGTGAGGCAGGAAAGTGGGGAGGTACATATTATGGAGAGGCTGTTCAGTGGAATGTTTGTTGACTTTTGTTTAACCTTAGCTCAGGCATGTCCAAAGTCCATTTTGGGGGCCTAATCCAGCTCAACAACTTTGGTTGGCTCTCATGCATGTACACTCCTTCAAATCTGGCCTTCTTTGAAAAAAGTTTGGGCACCCCTGCCCTAGCTGGTGCTAAAGAAGGCAGTTCTTCTCCTGGAAAGGAGCTAACATGTGTGGCTGGGTGTATGTGTGAAATTCTACCCCTACATTTCGGCCTGTGTTCGGCTGCTGTTGAAAGATCAGTGGAGGTGGGAAGAGAGAAACTGCAATACTATTGGACCAAAAGTGAATTCTACCATCCATAAAGATCTCTGTTAAAACACATCTCTGCCCATTTTCCTTTGCTACCTCATATGCTGATTACTCCCTTCCTGAACATATATTAGATCTCCCGTCATATCTCCTCTCAAAACTCAGAATTTCTATTAAACCTTTGGTTTAATGCCATAATCTTCGTTCCCAATTCTGATCCTACTTAAGAACATGTAAGTGCATTTGCTCCTATTTCATGCCACGCTACGTTCCTCTCTCCTTCCCCATTGACAGATTGTAAACATATTGGGAATGTAGACCTGTATTTTGTTTACCAAAAGAAAATGTATTGCACCATGCACACATAGGTAACATAAGGCTTTAGGTGTTAGTCTCCATTATTATTATTAAGGTCCAGTTGCAGCTTTACTGTTTAGAATGATTTTATTAAAAGAACAGGAACTTTCAGATATGATTACTTACTACGTCAACAGCTGGACTTCTCAATCAGCATCTGATGAAATACGCAAGTTGTTATGTTTCTTCAATTTTAAGGGGTAACAGTATTTTTTAAAATGTGTAAATGTTAGAATGAGGGAGAGGAAGTGTCCTGTGTGGTGACTTAATGATGAGCAGGTTTACTGTGGCATAAATTTTTGAAGCATTTCACTGGGTGCATCAAGTGGGCTCAAGTTTATGAACACTTCTCCAACAATAAATACATTCATCTTTAAGGCGTCACTAGGATCTTATCAGTAGGTTTGATCCTATTCTTTTTGGACTCAGCCAAAACCAGGATTCTCTCACTACCTGTCCTAAATAGGAAAAGGAAGAAACGTTAATTATCATGCAGCTCCTACGGTTATGAATGGTCCTCACATACACATCTTTAGCTTTGAACAGGCAATGCCTCATGCTTCTTGTTGCCTTTTGATCCCAGTTTACCATTTTTGCACATTCATTCATCATGTATCTGCCAACTGAGGATAGAATTTCATGTGTTTAATAAATTGGCCTTCTGCTGTGGCATCTGCCACAAAAAATCCAGTTAATCATTGATGTGCTATGCTGGTGTTGCTAAAATTGACATGACTGCTCCTCTATAATCGGTCACTCTAGCTAACATAAAAGGAAGTCCCTGCTTCTTCAATTATTTTTAGAACTCAATGCTTGCACATGTTTACTAAGAAAGCAGTCCCCGGTCAGTGTCTTTAGGATTGCGGTTTCAATGTGTACGCTAAGGGGTAGGAGGGCTGTAGCCCTCCATAAGTCCCTGGACAACAACTCGCCTCATTCCCGACTCATCTGCCATGCTGGCTGGGCCTGAGGAGTTGTGAGTGCAACAACACCTGAAGAGACATGGGTTTCTCAGCCCTAATTGAAGCCACAAGCAATCCTTGGAACATACAAAGGTCCCTTATACTGAGTCAACCCTTTGGTCTATCTAGCTCAGTCTTGTCTACAATGACAGGCAGGTTTCAGGCAGGAATCTCTCCCGGCCCCACCTGGAGAGACTGGGAGTGGACCTGGGATTTCTGCATGTAATGCAGCAGACGCTCTACCACTGAGTTACAGCCCTTCCTTGCAGCACGAACTTACATTTGCTTCCTCAAAATTAACCTCTGCTACCTTCAGCAGGGTGGGTGCGTGTGGGTGGTTGTGACCATTAGGGAAGTGTGCACAGAAGTCCAACCCTTTTATCAATTTTGATTCATTCCAACAGGTACGTTGATGGCATACTAACAGGAATAATTGTTCTAGATTCAGGTAGGTAGCTGTGTTGATCTGACGCAGTTGAAATATATAAAAAAATGTCCAGTAGCACCTTAGAGATTATACCAAGAACAAACTTAGTTGGTCTCTAAGGTGCTACTGGACATTTTTTAAAAAATATATATAGCAATAATTGTTTTTAGTTAAGAGCGGAGATGGGCTTGAGCAGCTCATTCGGTAGAGCATGGGACCCTTAATCTCAGGGTCGTGGGTTCGAGCCGCACTTGGGGAAAAATATTCTTTAATTGCTGGGGGTTGGACTGGATGACCCTCGTGGCCCCTTCCGACTTTACAATTCTGTACATTTAAGAATTGAGGAATTCTGCGTGGGGAGAGGATAATAATAAAGCCCTTAAGTGCAAAAATGCTCCCTTTCCCTCCAGGTGTTTTTTTCCCCGGGGGCCAGAGGAGCGTTTCTATGGAAGCCCATGTGGGAGTGAGAAGCCTGGCCTTGGACGATGTGCCTCCCCCGTCCTGCTCAGAGGTGGGGGGAGGGGGGGAGAGAGAGAAGAGGCGGGGCCGGAGAGGACGGAGGGGGCGCCGTTGCCATGGCGACCGGAGGCGGAAGGACGGGGTCCCCTCGGTGGCGGCGGCAGCGCGCGGGCGCCGTTGCCCAAGAGATCGCGAGGCCTCCTCAGGAGGAGAGGGCGGAGGGGCCGGCCAAGCACGTTTCTGCTCTGGGCCAGGCAAGGAAGGAGGGAGGGAAGGAGGAGCTGCTGCTGCTACTGCTGGAATGAAAGAGCTTCTCCCTCAGAGGCGGGAAGCGACGCTGCCACGGAGGGAAAGGAAGCCGCGCCTGCGCACTCCCCGTCCCGCCGCCGGCGACCCCGAAGGAGGCTTCCCCGCCCCGCCCGCCATTACCGTCCGTGTCCCCGCCGAGGGGCTCCGGCTGCTGCTGAGGCTCCTCCGCCGCCATCTTCGCGCTTGCAACCCCACGGAGAAGCGCTTCCGGGTTGCTTTCGGGGGACACCGGAAGCACTTCTCTCTCGCGCGCCCTCTCTTTCCTAGCAACCGCTACCCGCTCCTCACATCCATGGACACACGCTAATTGGGAAGCTCCGCCTTCTCTCAAATCCACCCACCTTATCTTCTTCTTCCCCAGCTAGGAAATCTTTTAAAAAAATAAAAAAATCACGCTGCTGCTGTGACGTCATCACAACAATCCGCAGCACGTGCGCCCGGCTATGACGTCACCCCTGGTCGCGACTCCTCCTCCTCCTCCCCGCATGGATGGGTCGCAAAATGACTTCACAGAGCATCGCTGTTTCTTGCTTTCGTTTTTAAAAACGACAAATCAATATGCACAGCTGTGTCTATCGATTAGTTTAAAAGGTGGGGTAGGAAATAACGGGTTGTAGTCAATGTTTGCCCTGCTCGGAGTAGACTCATTTGGGAATAATGGGCATGGCTACTTTCCAGTCAAAACCGCCTGGAATAATAGAACTGTAGAGTTGGAAGGGACCACGAGGGCCATCTAGTCCAACCCTCTGCAATGCAGGAATCTTGGCCAAGGGGGTGGGAGCCTCAAACCCATGACCTGGAGATGAGTCTTAGGGATAGTGTGGTGCTGATAAGCCAAGGTTGGAGGTTCCATCCCCGTATGGGTACAGTTGCGTATTCCTGCATTTCAGGAGGGCAGACTAGATGATCCTCAGGTTCCCTTCCAACTCTACAATTCTGTTATTCTATGACTGGTTCTACCAACTGAGCTGTCCCTAGTGTGGCCCTACTTTAGGCCTGCTTATTTCAATTTGTCTGCTCTGCATATAATTTAGTAAGATAAAACGTGATACTTTTGTAATAGGGTTGCAGAAACTTTTTCAGCTCAAGGACCATATTCCCTTTGGGACAAATTTATGAGGCCACATGGCAGTGGTGATTAGGGCCAGAGGCAAAAGTGAGTGAAGCAGCAAGTGTAAATTTTAGCATTGTGAAAGTAGGCTACTTTCTACACACACATTTTGTCTTCTATCCAGGGAAGCAAGAGACACGATCAGAATTCAGTGACACATTCCAGCAGGCAAAAATATTCAAGGGTGGGTGCAAAGCAGGGCTAGTGAGGGGTGTGGCCTAGGGAGAGTTCTGAGAGCCTGCTAGAGAGGCCTGGAGGGCCACATTTGGCCCACAGCTCTGAGGTTCACCACCCCGCTTCAAAGGGGCCAGCTGTCTCCCACCGCCATATAGCTCTGTCACAAGGAAGCATGCAAAAATACTACAGTGGTACGTCGGGTTACATACACTTCAGGTTACAGACGCTGCTAACCCAGAAATAGTGCTTCAGGTTAAGAACTGCTTCAGGATAAGAACAGAAATCGTGCTCCGGTGGCGCAGCGGCAGCAGGAGGCCCCATTGGCTAAAGTGGTGCTTCAGGTTAAGAACAGACTTCCAGAATGAATTAAGTACTTAACCTGAGGTACCACTGTATTTCATGTTGGAGTTTGGTGAACCCAAACAACTTACACATTGTTTTCCAAGGTTTTTCTTTTCCCCACTCCCCCAAAATGATTATTTTAGTCTCATCGTCACTTATAATGTGATTCTCATTCTGCCAATGCCTGGCCATGTTTTATCAGGGTGAAATGGGTCCTTGTACCTGTTACCTTTTCACACCCTGACTTTCAATGTGTTATATGTTAGTACCAATTTTAGCATACATTTACCCTTGTTTTTATTTTGTGATCTGGTTCATGTTTATCATATACTGTCCTGATAATTCAGCAAATGCTGGTGTATGAAGATAGAAGGTAGCACTCATTTCTCTCAACGCAGCAAAGAAATATAAAGCTTTTCATCTTAAGTATACCTAAAAGCCTGAAGAGGTTTCAAATCTTTTTATTACAAAATGATAATAATGAAATAACGGTGAAACCTAATGAGAAGCAGAGGAGAATCATTTTGTACAGCAGAAGTTATATATACATATTTAGCGTCCCAACTTAATCCTTCTAACATGGAAGTGTTTGCCTTATGAACATTCTTTAGCATTGAAAGCTTCAAGGTTTGCAAAAAGAAGAAGAATGCAGAGGGCAAGGAGGAGGAGGAGACCAGAGCAACCTTGCTAGAGACAAGCAAAATGCAGCTCATATTGGTGCTTGTGAATGTGTATGGAATTTCATACGGCAGGTCGTTGCGGCTCTTAATTTATCCAAAGAGATGTTTGCTTCATGGTTGCACCAGAATCCTGGTAACAGAACTGTAAGAAAGGAGGAGGAGAAAATAGTTTAGCAGAAAGAAAACACTGCAGATTTTTAAAAAAACAAAACTGCACATTGAGATCAAAGGCATATGCCTCACAGTGACCCTTTCGAGAAGGCAAAACTGTAGTAGGACTAGTCTTCCTTTCTTGTTTTAGTTAATCTTACTTCTCTCATGGGACATGGGTGGCGTTGTGGGTTAAACCACAGAGCCTAGGACTTGCCGATCAGAAGGTCGGCGGTTCGAATCCCTGCTCCTGCCAACCTAGCAGTTCGAAAGCACGCCAAAGTGCAAGTAGATAAATAGGTACCGCTCCAGCGGGAAGGTAAACGGCGTTTCCGTGCGCTGCTCTGGTTCGCCAGAAGCGGCTTAGTATTGCTGGCCACATGACCTGGAAGCTGTACGCCGGCTCCCTCGGCCAAGAAAGCGCTGCAACCCCAGAGTCGGCCACGACTGGACCTAATGGTCAGGGATCCCTTTACCTTTACTTCTCTCATAGCATTTTAGGTTCCTTCTAAGAAGGTTCACTTAACATGGAATTTACCACCACAGGATGCAACATGACCATTTCAATGCCTGTAAAAAGCAGCAGGTTAACAAAAGGGCACCTCCAGTTGACCTGTTTAGCAAGCGTTCATCCCGATTTGCTTGCACAAAGCTTATGCAGAGGTTAGATTATATCCAGTCTTTATTGAGCACTTGCTCCAATTTCTCTGTGGGAAGAATAAAGGGCAACAAGTATTCTTCCTGCATCTGTCCTTATTTGCTTGCACGGTGGTCAGACATCTTCTCATTAATCATTTATTCTTCCTACACTTTCCAGTACATTTCACTGTCACTTTCCTAACCACAAAACATCCATTTCTTTCCTTCTTTTTAAGCGGGATTGTAGAGCTAGGGCGACTAAGTGCTTTAATTACACAAACCTAACTTTCTCAGTGTCTGCTTGAATTCCTTCTACACAATGCCGACAGTTTAGAGGCAGCCAAATTTGTGGAGAAAGGTATATTTATGACCCATGGCATCTAAATGGAACTTCCATGTACAAGTGAAATGTACCTGTGAACAGCTGCTGCTGAGGCAAATGCCATGGAGGGCGGGGGAAGGCTGTTGCTTTCACAGTAGGAAATAGGAGATCGTAGAAAAGGAGGAGGTGCCCACAAGTGTGGTTATGGAAACTCCCAGTTTTAAAACAATACATCCAAATAAAAGACGTGTCCAGCTTCCTAGCTGACCTACGGGTCACAGCACATAGCTGTCATGTTGTTGTTTAGTCGTGTCACTCCTGTCTTCCACTGCCTCCCGCAGTTTGGTCAGACTCATGTTTGTAGCTTCGAGAACACTGTCCAACCATCTCGCCCTCTGTCGTCCCCTTCTCCTTGTGCCCTCCATCTTTCCCAACATCAGGGTCTTTTCCAGGGAGTCTTCTCTTCTCATGAGATGGCCAAAGTATTGGAGCCTCAGCTTCAGGATCTGTCCTTCCAGTGAGCACTCAGGGCTGATTCCCTTAAGAGTGGATAGGTTTGTTCTTCTTGCAGTCCATGGGACTCTCAAGAGTCTCCTCCAGCACCATAATTCAAAAGCATCAATTCTTCGGCGATCAGCCTTCTTCGCTGATAGCTGTCATAGATTCATATATTTGTAGAGTTGGAAGGGATCCTGAGGATCATCTAGTCCAACCCCCTGCAATGCAGGACTATGCAGCTGTCCCATACGGGGATTGAACCTACAGCTTCCTTGGCGTTTTCAACACTATGCTCTAACCGACTGAGCTATCCAGTCATGATCCTCCCAGTTGCTTGTTTCAGTATTATTAATCATTTGCAGCTTAGCCTTTTGATTTAGTGATGCTACTTTATAAAGAATAGCCAAGTCAATTACAATTCATCCCAACCTCTCACCCCTTTCAATAATTTGACACACAACATCCAGTTCTATGGGAGATAACTTACACATCTTCTCATTATCTGCCATTTTGCAAAAAAGGTACAAAGCCCCATATTTATTCCACAAGACAGATAAGGAAGCTCATTTATTTTATTTTATTTTTTAAAAATGGATTTTAACAACGTTCCAATCTGCGTTAATTGGTTTTGCAACAGATCGGCACCGTCATTAGCACTCATTAATCTGCTCGTTCACAGCTATCTCGAAGCCCAACGGAATGTTGTTTCCCATATTAACCAGGAGGTCAGATGAGATTAATGCAGGGTTACCTGTAATTAGTAAACATTTATTCAGATTGTAAAAGGTAAAAGCTTGACAACCCCCCCCCCTCCCCAGGCACTCTATGTACTAATTGGTCGTTTTATGATTACTTTGAAGAAACACTTGGATGGAAACAGAAGCCAAATTGAAATAAGACATATGAATACAGCATTTAAATGCCGTTAAGGTCAAATACTGATTTACCTGCCTTAGCTCGTGCAGATTTATTTATTTTTAAAGATCCTGCCAGTTTAGTAGAGCAGCAAAAGTGAAACCAGATGATAATTATGTAGCAGGAAAATTCTTTAGAAGGACAGTTGGAGAAACTTGACATTTCCAGACAAAGATCAATACAGCAATTACTCGACAGTTGCAGAGCAATTTAAAATGGAGAAAAGTCAAAGTGCTTGTTTACAGCAGCAAAAGAAGTGTACGAAGGCATCTGAGAAATGATAAGATCTGAAGGGAATGGATGACCAGAAATAATAGAGTCCTGTCTTAAAAAGTACAAATTTCCAATAGAAACTTGTAGATGGGTTCAGATTAGCTAAGACAGGGGTGGGGAATCTGCAGCCATAGAC